GAAGCAAATGGCAACAGTTTTTTGGGATAAGAAGGGAGTTCTGCTGGTGGATTACCTCCAACAGGGTTCAACTATCAATGCAAAATATTACTGTGCTTTATTGACAAAGTTGAGGCAAAACATCAAGGAAAAACATAGAGGAAAGCTCTCCAAAGGTGTCATCCTCTTGCATGACAACACCTTGTCACACGCTGCAGGTGAAACAATGACAAAACTGACCACCTTAGGCTTTCAATTGATGCCCCATCCACCCTATTCTCCCGACCTGGCTCCTTCTGACTATTATCTGTTCCCCAAATTCAAAAAACACCTAAAGAGACAACGATTTGGGAGTGTTCTGGAGGCAACTAATGCTGGAAATGAGTGGTTACACCAGCAGTTGGAAGAATTTTATTTGCAGGGACTTAAGAAGCTGCAGGACAGAAGTGGCAAGTGCATTGACTTCCTGGGGGAATATGTAGAATGGTGTGGCAGTTACAGCTTCTTAGCTCATTTTTTTTCTGGGTAAGGCTCAATACTTATCAGCACCCCCTCATACCTCCAGATACAATCAGAAGCAGCTGGGTGGACAGTCAGACCCAACTCAGGCAGATTTACATTAAAGAGCCAGTCCCCTACATTGACCAGTATTATATAAGGGCAACCTACCAAATCTATCCAGTTTGCAAAACAAAGGCTTCCAACAAGCACTAAAAGTAACACCGCTACCTCTGTTGATGGAATGTGGCACAAATTTTATCAAGGGAGCCGCAATAATAATTATCTCCCAGAACTGACGGGTTTTGGCCAATACTTGTACCCCATTCCATTGGGGCTGATGACCATATTTGATCCAATGCTCGGCCAGTCCAGATTTTTCAGGCTGTTGTAATCTTAAGATATTGTGAAGGTTCTGAAAAGGTCAGGCTGAGAAAGCGTAACAGGCCCACTTACTAGTGAGTTCCATAGTACATGGGAGACTGGATCCTGGATCTCCTCAAGCCCCAATTCCACAGTCTAATCATTACACTACACGGGCTTTCTTTTGCATTCAGAGATGGTTGTTCACACCGCTACATGGGAAAGACACAAAACAATTAACACGAAACAAGCTGAATTTATACGGATTGTCTTTCCTCAGCAGTTAATGCCTTAATGGCACTGTCTTTGGCTCAGTGTACTTGAAATCATTCCAGTCTTTCTGCCCTACAGTGTCAGCACAGTGATTCTCTGTTCCGGGAAACACTACTATGCCCTGGCAAAACACCGGGAGACACTTGAAGAAAAGAAGCAGACTACTGCAATTATCAGATTAGAAGAACTGTGCCCTTTCCCATTAGAGGCTCTGCAGCAGGAGATGAACAAATTCACTAATGCCAAAGGTTGGTGGGTGCTTGCTCTTTAGAAGGATCGGGACACCACTTGGGCTATAGCTACACTGGCAAATACCTGGGATTTGCGGCAGGTATAAAATGGATGAATTCAATTTTTTTTTTAACTGATCACAAGACACAAAGATAAATTCAAATCAATTCAGCCCTTTTTGCTCCAGAGTTTTTTCTCTGATGCTGTTAGCTTCTACTTTTTTCAAGCTGGAATGATTTGAAGGGACTTTTCCCCATGTGAACAGTTGTTTAGTTCTGCAAAATGACGTGTGTGGGGGTGTTGTTGTAGTGACATAGGCATTTGGAGCATGATGTTTAGGGATTGCAGGAACACCTGTCCTTTCCACAATGCAAAAAGGAAAGACCAACCACACATACACAAAACAATTCTTAGGCGAAAAGCCTTCCCCCTCACCTGTGTCATGAGGGAGGATGAGGAGAATGTGCTTACGCACACACTAGCATTTACCTCTCTCTGCAAGGCCTCTCTCCCAAGACACTTCTCATTTTTAACAGTGTTCCTAGGCAGAGCTCCTGTTTATTTGTTTATTTTTTTCAGCTTGACTAGCTATTTGGTCATCAGAACAAAATGAAAAAATAGTCATTGAGGACAGAAAGCCTTGTTAAGGCAGTTTCTTTAAACTGTGCCACCTAGAGGCACTTCAAATGGAACTGCAATTACTGTGTCATGAGGGAGGATGAGGAGAATGTACTCACGCACATACCAGCATTTACCTCTCTGCAAAGCCTCTCTCCCAAGACACTTCTCATTTTTAACAGTGTTCCTAGGCAGAGCTCCTAATTGTTTATTTTTTTCATCTTAACTAGCTATTTGGTCATCAGAACAAAATGAAAAAATAGTCATTGAGGACAGAAAGCCTTGTTAAGGCAGTTTCTTTAAACTGTGCCACCTAGAGGCACTTCAAATGGAACTGCAATTAGAAGGATCTTTTTTCTCCTCTGCTTGTGTGGCCTCTTATATGGAAGAGAGTAAAATGCCCTGGTGTGATTTCACAATGAGAGAATGTGAGTTGATGCGCATTTCGCTTGTTGTGTAGTCACACCCTTAGTTGTCTAGAGAGGGGTTGGACCTCATTTGCTCCTTGCCCCAACTAGCTATTTGGTCATCAGAACAAAATGAAGAAATATTCATTGAGGACAGAAAGCCTTCTTAAGGCAGTTTCTTCAAACTATGCCACCTACAGGCACTTCAAATGGAACTGCAATTAGAAGGGTCTCTTTTCTCCTCTGCTTGTGTGGCCTCTTATATGGAAGAGAGTAAAATGCCCTGGTGTGATTTCACAATGAGAGAATGTGAGTTGATGCGCATTTCGCTTGTTGTGTAGTCACACCCTTAGTTGTCTAGAGAGGGGTTGGACCTCATTTGCGCCTTGCCCCAATTCTTTATATAATTTGGTATATGTGCTTTCAAAGTTGAAACTGATAGCCTTCTCTTATGGCTGTGGATCCTACGCCGCCAATTATCCCAGGTTATATCCTGGAGGAGTTTCAGATAGTCCTTAAGATTACAATGAAAACAATAACAAAAAACAAAGGAGCAGTTCCTTTTCCTCTATGAAGTTTCTACACCATGCTTAAGAGAAGACCCATTCTCTGAAGGGAACAAAGAGGGCTGAGTGAGCAATCAAAAACCATAGGTAACTTGTGAACACTGCAGCTGTCCCACTTTTTTTGTCTATAACGGGGTGGATGACTTCCGGCTATACATGGGCACAAACCGCCAGTTGGGTGGTTCAACACAGTTTGTTTTGTGGTTCAGTGCCCTGCCCCCTCCAGCAAGTTCCCACTCAGTGGCAGTGCTCCACCCCGCCTCCTCTGGGCATTGGCGGCAAGTGGGCACCTGCTGGAGGGGGTGGGCTGTCGAACCACAGATCAGCTCTTCAGCCTTGAAACAAACTGTGCCGAAGTGGTAGTTTGTGTCCATCTGTACTTCTGGCCTCTTCTGTCCAACAAAGCCCTTGCCCCCCCCACCGGCCATGCCTTCTCCCAGAGATACTGTCTACTGATCTCTGATCAGTAATTGGGGATTGCAGGGATACCCTCTTTTGCTCTCAACAGGCCTGGGCTAGTTCCTGGAAGTGGCAGCTAAGAAAGATCTGCTGCTCCTTCCCTCCCTTCATGCAAGGTGGAAGGGGGAATGGAGACTGATCAGTAATTGGGGATTGCAGGGATACCCTCTTTTGCTCTCAACAGGTTAGTTCCTGGATGTGGCAGCTAAGAAAGATCTGCTGCTGCTTCCCTCCCTTCATGCAATGTGGAAGGGGGAATGGAGGATCAAAGTCAGCCCCACTCTGCTAGCATTTGAAGGAGCTTAGAATGTACGTTTTTGACATGGAAGGACATAGCTTCTGCTTTCTATGACTGAAAAGATGCAATAGAGAATCTAGACTTCCGAATAGAAGCTAGGTAAGAGATTGATTGGAATACACGAATGAGCATTCTTTAGCTTTCCCTTGAGATATCTGAAGAAGCGGGCTTGTCTGGAAAAGCTCACATAATAGAGAATCTAGACTTCCGAATAGAAGCTAGGTAAGAGATTGATTGGAATACACGAATGAGCATTCTTTAGCTTTCCCTTGAGATATCTGAAGAAGTGGGCTTGTCCTGAAAAGCTCACATCAGGCAGTTATAAAGCAGTTAGTCTTTAAGGTGCCACACGGTTTTTGTCTTCCTCTTCTTCTTTTTGTTATGCTTTTGCCTGACATGCCGGGCAATGTGTAGTCTGCATAATTAATTTGTAAACCGCCCAGAGAGTGCTTGAAGCGCTATGGGGCCGTATATAAAAGTAATATGGCTGCCTCTTCTAAAACCTGAGTTTTCTGATTTCTTACACAGCATTTATCTGGAGTCAGGAGGAGCCACAGAACATGGGGCCCTGGACATTCGTGTCTCCAAGGTTTGAGAAGCAACTGGCCTGTAAGGTAAAATCTCAATATTATCAGCCAAGTAAAACTGAGTTCAGCCTGAAATCAAGGTTTGTCAGCCTTATTAGCACAATGGTATGAAGGTACATGAAGTGGCAGCATTGCTGAAGCTAAGCAGGTGGAACAGGCAGTACTGACTTTAATTCTACATGGGTGGGCCATGTATATAAGAAATAATAGTGGCTTTGTACATACATGTAGATTTCTTCACAACAGTATCCATGGGAATTTCATGTCAAGAAAGCTAAGGCAGCAGTGACTCTCTGCTTAGGTGGGAATAAGTCCAAATGTGCACAAAGAGGACTTGCTTTTTCGTTAATATCCGTAGGGTAGATTCTCATTCTTTTTCTCCCCAAAGTGGAAGCCTTAGAGCATAGGTTCTTAACCTGTGGTCCGCGGACCCCCTGGGGCTGCAGTGTCCTCACAAGTGGTCCACGAAGGCTTGAAAAAATCTTATGATCTTTTCTAGTTAAACAGAATGAACGAAAGAAAGAAAGGAAAGGAAAGGAAATGTAGAAGAATATCTTAATTTCCCTTGATGTGTAAAATGGCTATTCTAACCTACCACCTCCATTATAAACAAACATAAGTAAAAATAGGTTATGAAAACAACTGTTTGATAGCCAATAACTGTTTGATATTTCTGCACATGGTGAGAAAACGCAAGTTAATTATTCTGACTGGCTAAGAGACAGCATGTGACATTTCTTGCTACTGCGCAGATACAGTGGTGCCTCGCAAGATGAAATTAATCCGTTCCACGGTTAATGCCGTCCAACGAAAATTTTGTCTTGCGGAGTGAGTTTTCCCATAGGAATGCATTGAAATTTAATTAATGTGTTCCTATGGGGAAAAAAAGTCAGAAACAAACAAACAAAAATAAAATAAAGCCACTTGCCATGTACTGTAGACTGAGCCCGGCTCCTCACAGTGCCTTGGTAGCCCAGAAAAGCCAGAAAAAGAACGGCAAACAGCTGAGAGCCCGGACCCAGCAGGGAGGCGGCAGCCATTTTGTGCTCTCCTCTGCTCCCTCCCTGCCTCACAGCTGATTGGCGCTGGGTCTTAGAAGCTTCCCCAGGCTTGCCCAGCACCGAAAAAGAGCTGGTAATAAAAAATTGTGCTTTCGGGGGGCGGCAATTGAAACATCTCGCCTCTGGAAGAAACACAGTTCAGTGGTCCCCATAGTCACTGGAGCTAAAAATATCAAGAAATTTCACACAGTACTATGAGTAAGTAAGTAAGTAAGTATGTATGTATGTATGTAAGTCTTGGTGGTCTGTGGCAACAAAAGATATTGAAAGGGGGTCTGTGGTAAAGAAAAGGTTAAGAACTGCCACCTTAGAGCAATATCTTCACCTTTAAATGAAAGTCTTGGTTCTAAAGAAGGTTAACATGCTGCTTGACTCTTCTTGGGAATTTACTGCTAATGGATACATGGGATTGTGGAGCTAGGTATTCAGGTTTAATGGGGAGGCAGCTTTTAATAGTGTGCCTCCTTGGATGTATGCCGAAGCCAAGATGAAACTGAAGAATGTAAAATAAAGAAAGTACATGCTAATAATATTATGTAAGTTCCTGGGCCTTATTCTTGTTTTTTTGCAGACTAAAGCTAAAGAATGCAATTTTGCACACAATTGGATCGTGTGTGTATTTTTAATAAAAAATACAGCATGTAAGACCTATGCAACAAACTGGGACCATCTCTTTGTCAACATGGATATGATTGTGCTACTCTTTACTATTTTATTTATTTATTTATTTATTTATTTATTTATTTATTTATTTATTTATTTATTTATTTATTTAGATTTTATCCCACCCTTCTAGACATATGTCTACTCAGGGTGGCTCACAATAAATTTATTCATAAAAACAATTAAAACAACGATTTACATTTACAATATTAGTATTAATTAATATGAAACAAAAGATTAAGTACAAAGTAAAACTCAAGTATTGACAGGAAGGAGGGCCTGCCTAAAGAGCCAACACTTTAATTGACTATGACAGGATTTGAGCAGCTTGCATGTAGGATTGTAACCAGAATGATTGGATAAGTACATGTAATGCCAGTCAGATAAACTTTAAAGGACCAGTGTGTAATGCCATTCTCCCATCTTTTAATTGCAGCTCCATTACAAAGTAAAACTCAAGTATTGACAGGAAGGAGGGCCTGCCTAAAGAGCCAACACTTTAATTGACTATGACAGGATTTGAGCAGCTTGCATGTAGGATTGTAACCAGAATGATTGGATAAGTACATGTAATGCCAGTCAGATAAACTTTAAAGGACCAGTGTGTAATGCCATTCTCCCATCTTTTAATTGCAGCTCCATCTTGTAAGCAGACCAGCTTTACCAGCACCTGCAGTGGGCATTGGAACATTACACCAGAAACAACAAGAAGACCTCCTCACCAAAACGTTTGCTTGAGTCTTGTATACTTTGTAACTTTTTAAGGGCTAAAATAAATGGTATCTGGCTGTGGAGTTCGATTCCCCACTATGCCTCCTTGACAGGGACTGGATTTGGTGATCTATAGCAAGGGTCCCCAACCTTGGGCCTCCAGAGGTTCTTGGACTTCCACTCCCAGAAATCCTGGCCAGCAGAGGTGGTGGTGAAGGCTTCTGGGAGTTGTTGTCCAAGAACATCTGAAAGCCTAAGGTTGGGGACCACTGATCTATAGGGTTCCTTCCAGCTCTGCAGTTCTATGATGATGACGATGATGAATACAGGAAGATTGCAAAACTGCCTGAGTTTGCCTGCAGCATGTGCTGCTTAAAATTGTGGCACACAAATCAGCCAGGGTAAAATGTGTTAAGCCTTAATTTATTTTAATGTAGAGTTGAGCAGCTGCTTAACTCTCGATGGTAGAATTTAACAGGATTGGATCATGACCACTTTGGTTTGCTCATGCACATATTTAAGTACAAAATGTTTAAATTTTCCAATTCTTTATGGAATTCTTTAAATCTTAATCTGTGTTATGATGCTAATGCTCCAGCACTTTCATGAATGGATAGTTAAACCTGCAGGTATTTTAACTTCCCTTGGTAGAATAAAACAAAAAGGCAGAATAAAATCGCTGAATGAGCTGGGAGGATGAAATGCTTCACTGCAGTAAATGTTAATAATTTAAAAGAACTTTTTGTGGAAAGGAGCTCTGAAAGAGTTTTATATGGAAGTTATTTGGTCTAGTAACTTCTTTCCTTTCATAAACTTTTAGATTTATTTATGAAACATGGTAAAATTAAACCAGGGGAGTTTATTGTACTAACAGCTTCAAAAAAAGAAAAAAAGAAGTTTCATTCTTCTGCAGAAGGTAAAAAAGAGAGAGGGGGAGTTACATTAGCTTATTTTATACAAGCAGTAGATGAAGCAGTAAAAAAATTTTCCTGGGATGTAACACTTAAGACTGTAAATGGGTGGGAATTGCGTTATTGAATGTACACGAGTGGGGAAATTACTGTATGTATAAAATTAGTATATTGTCCCTGATATCCAGGGTTTTATATGCTGGCAATTTGTTCTACTAGGGTTAGGGTTCAGTCTTGCAGTTCTCCCCTTGCAGTCAGAAGTGATATAATTCAGGAATGGTTTTACCACCACTTCTGCTCTTTATACGCACAAGGTCTTAGCTACAGAAAATGATGGCTATTGTCTTCAATGTCTCTTCCTGGGAAAGCAGATTCTTTTGTTATACTCCAAGTGAACAGAAGCTGATATAAGAAACAGTGCCAGGAAAAAATGAATGCCATTCTGAATGCTATGTGAATATAGAGTGTTGTCAGAAATTATGTTAAAAAAGTTTAAGCTGTTTTTCAATTTGCCTTCATTGCATTTTCACTGAATGATTGGATGTTGCTGCTTACAACCCAAGCCTTTTGTGGGTCACAAAAATTGATTCCCAGTCTCTTCATGTGCCAACTATAATAAAAGATACACTGTTTTGTAATGTGGCCTGCTTTCCTGTTTCCTCAAACCACTGGGAGAGCTAAACATGATCAGGCAACTGACTAACAGCTGGTGGTAGATGACTTTTTCCTCCCAGGAGGATAGATGCTAAGCCTTCCCTTACTCTAGCATCACAATTCTAATTGCATTTAGAGAACTCTACAACTGCTTTAACATATAAAAATCTGATTATATGATCCCAGTTCTTCCACATCAGGTGTGGTTTGTCCTCAAGTTTCCAGGGTTCATTTCTCTGGCATTCTGCCACTAGGCATTACTGAGTGGTACTTCATCAGCCAGAATCCTACTAGTGATTTCTGCATGCAAAGTGAAATTGCATACATTGCAGCAGGAAATAGTTACTAGTTAAGGATGTGCCAATCACGCAACCAGGAATGCAACAAGCATTCACTACCAGCATGTTGGTGCTGTGGCGTATACAATTTCACTTATGAACGTAATATAAGTTGTCAGTAGGATTCTGCCATGTGTAAAGCAATTCTTCAGGATTTGTTACATTGTTGGAGGTGACCTGATGGCACATAACAGAGAAGAACAAGAGGAATTAACGTACCATTGTAACAAAAATGAAGTTTGGGCATCACTTGAAGCCTGGAAGTACCTGAACGTATGTACATCAGGATGATTGCCCTCTGATAGGCTCCATCACCTTAGCGTACAGGTGTACACATGTATGTTCCCATACATCTGGTAATCATGGTAGCAAACTGTTGGCCAAAAAAGCCCCCCCCTCAATTTCCTGCACACATTCCCATGAGCATGCTTTTGACAAAAATATTCCTTTCAATTTGACAATGTAGGATGACAATTTGAGCTGTTTTGATTTAACATTTAAGCCAGATGAAGCTACAGCTGAGTCCAGTATGCTTATCTTTGGGGCTGATGGTATAGTGGTAAAAGTGGTTGCAATGGTGGCTGTTCAGATTTGCACCTGCGGCAAAGTGTCATAGGTTCTCTTCTCTGCAATCAGGGGCCGGAGGCTGACTGCACTGTCTCAGCTGAATTGGCATCTCAGTGTTGCCGCGTGTTATCAAAGCTGTCCTTGAATTACTAAAGGTGACCACTACAATCAAGACAAGAAGCTGTAGGGTCAAGAGACAGGCTTATTACAAGCTCTTCTGACGAACAGAAGACTACCTGATCCTATTATCAGCCCATTGACTGATGTGCAGTACTGTCTTTTATGATAATTATCCGTATATCAAGGATTGCACTATTCTATCTAGCTTGTTTGGGAAAATGGGGAGAATCCTCTCTTGGCTATGCAAAGCCAACCTGCTCTTGCCTACTATCTGACCAGAGGTGTGGGGCTGGGTCAGTTTCAATCTCCTCCTCCTATTGAGCTTAGCCTCAGCACATACTGTGTAACTGTGTGCGGGAGAGGTCCAGAAAGGAAGAGAGGGAAGAGAGGGAAGTGGCAGCAGCACCCTTATTGTGCCAAACTTTGGCTGCAGTGCGGGAGAGGTCCAGAAAGGAAGAGAGGTAGTGGCAGCAGCACCCTTATTGTGCCAACCTTTGGCTGCGGTGCCTTGGGAACTTCCAGCCACGACATGAACCAGCCACCACTGACCAGAGTTGAGGGGTGGCTGCCAAAACCAATAGTTCCATGTCATCTCTTTAAAATGCAGCAATGAGAAGGGAGTAC